TCTGGTATATCTCTGATTGTCATGGATTGGTGAAGTTGGTGTGAGATTTGCTAAGTAAATCTCAATTAGTGTTAGGAATTGCTTTTTCTTGGCTAATTCACTTATTATGTTCTCTTCTAAATCTATATTGAGATCAGTTCAAAAATATTTCTTGCCTATTTTTAGAACTAGTTCCATTATACATGAATTTAAATATCAGGACATCTCAACTCTTAGAGAAGAGAATTACTCAACATGTCCTGTTGTTGCAGGTGGTATATTGTCCTGCAAACTGATATTGAATGACAAGACAAAGATTTTGAGTAAAAAAATATATTGCCAAGTTTATTTTTGTTAAAGAAAATACATCAACAAAATTAATGTTACAGTGCACAAGGCAAAAATAACACTCATGTAGAGGGTGAGAAGAGGGTTGTCCTGAGAAGGACAGTTTAATGGTTGCTGAAGAGTGATGTCCTGAAAAGGACAGTTTTGTAATCAGTGAGGAGCATTGTTCTGAAAAGTACAGTTTATTGCATATTGCTACTGCTGTCAAGAGTGGGAAGCCTGTTAGAGCTAGTTGGAGCTGGAGGCCTACTGGAGATAGCTGGAGCAACAGCCGATGGCAAGCTAGTTAGAACTACTGCTGAAACAGATACTACATTTTGATCCTCATCATCTTATTATTTATTGCATAAAAAATACAATTGTGGTACAAGGCCAAAGGGGAAGTGGGGTGTGGTTGGTTTTCACTATCCTAAACTTAGTTAATCTGATTCACAACCCATTCATTCATTACAACATACAAGAATTCATTCATCTCCATTCATCCGACATATGCCACAATATCGCATACTCAAAAGGAGGAGTGGTCCTACTAAAAAACACCCATGTTTGCTTTTGAGGCCTCTTTATATCTTGAATCAGTCTTACAGCAATGCTGGTTAAGTTTTTTCTTCCAGTTGTTTTTAAAATATGTGGAAGTGCTGACAGGATATGACACTGTCATTTATTAGGAAGATTCAATTTAATGATTTGCATTGGTGTGCCAAAACTTCTGGCTCTGCAATCTGTAAACATCTTATAAAAATCAAGTTTGTGCTACATCTGAAAATCCTAGAAACAATATTTATTAAAGCAAAACAGCAATCCTTGTGTAAACAGGAGTGGTTGTGTGGGCTTAATGTGATCTACCTATGCAAAGGTATACTCGTTTCAATATATTATTGAGAAGAATGTATTTTCTCTCTGTCTTAATGTTATTTTTTTTAATCACTACACATATTTATTTTATTTACCTAAATCAATCTCTGAAGAGTGAGGCATGAAACCATTTAATTTATTCTATATTTTTTCTCTCCTTATTTCTTCCTTGCTTTTTGTGTGTTTTCAGTTTCATACCAACTACAGTAGTTGTGATTTTTCTGTGCTTGACTTTTAATTATGTCCATTTTTATTGCCATAATAAAGTTCTGTACCACTAACAAGATTTTAAAATTTTCATGATCATGTCACCCTCAACACAGCCTCTGAACTCTTCTGATTTGATTTTTCTGAACACTAAATCTGGGCTATCATCAAGAAGGAAATAAACCAGCGGTCCCATAATATGAATGACTTAACAAAGGCCAACATCCATGAGAACCAATTGATCCAGGCATACAGTTACATCTGGGCCCTAGGCTGTTCCCAAGGCTGACCGTGGTTTTATAGAATAGTTTTTTGTCTGTACTTCTAATTTGGGCATGTGTACATATATATTTTCGAGGAAAACTATGACAAAGTGAAAAAATTTTTTGTGTGATGCATTTTATCCTTTAGGATTTAATCAGACTAAAAGTTTCCTTCCATCCAGTATTCTTTCCATTTTTCTGTTGCTTTCTTACTTTTTCCATCTGTCATACCTTTATTTTTCTCCTGTTCCTTTCCTTTACTTCATTCTTCCTAAACTTCCTACTTAATATTATTATGTCAGTTTATCAGTCAAAAAGCATAAAAGATTCCAGTTCAGCAAGGATAGTGATTGGATAAATACTAAACTGATCCTTTGTAAATTTTTCTTATAGTATTATATTCACTCTTTAGATTGTTAATATATAAAACTTGTCTTATAAATGAGAGTTACTTCATAAATAAAGTTTACAATCTTATAAAAAACAAATTTTAGACCTGATAGAATAATGCAACTGCTATCAAAATGAACTAAAATTTGTCTTCAAAATTATGAGGATTTATTGATAAGTAAGGTCTTCAATCATATTAAAATGTTTTCGAACAAACAAACTAATGAAACTGGTATCAAAATGAAAGAAATTTATTTCCTTTCAAAATTACAATGGTTGGTTGTTAAGTAAGCTTTCCAGTCTTAAAAAAAAACAAGTTTTATACAAAATAGAATAATGAAACTGGTATAAAGATTAAATAAATTTCATTGCTTTTCAAAATTAAGGAAGTTAAATTTTCAACGTAGTCATCATTCAATGTTACACAGTTTTTTCAAAATTCTATTCACTTTTTCAATCCATCTCTGTAGAAAGTTTCTGGTTTATTTTTTATTCATTTGTGAACATTAACTTTTGTATCAAATGAAGAATGTTGACCTTTCAACACCTATTTAATTTTTGGGTACAACCAAATTTATAGTGGAGCCAAATGAAGTCTGTACAGAAGGTTTGCATGAACCGTGAATTTCATGCTTCTTACCATTTGTCCTGTTTGCTGAATTCAGTGCAACACAAAAATGTTTTCTTTGCAGGCCTTATTCTGCAGATATGATTTTAAGTGTTCACCATATTTTACCAATTTATCATTTTCTCTGGCAGAAACTCTGTGTGAATTTTTATCTTCCATCAGCATGACTGATACTAACCTTCGGAAGAGTGATTCATAGTACCATCTTGGACTAATGTTTTCAGCTGACATGAAAGAGCATATTGAATCAATTGCTAAGTCTGCAGTTAAGAAAGTTGGTTCACTATATTATGCTAGACAATTTTTGTTGCCAGAATCTATTTTACATATTTATAAGTCTACCATTCACCCATGCTTAGAATATTGCTGCCACATATGGTCTGGTGCTCCTGCTATATATTTAGAGATTCTTGATAAAATCCAAAGAAGAATCTGCAATATTTATTGGTCCTGACCTGGCATCTCAGCTTCTGCTCCTTTCCCACTGCTGTAATGTAGCTTCCCTGTGCCTTTTCTATAAATACTTTCATGGTGATTGTTCTGATGAACTTTTCTCTCTGGTACCTAGACTTTGTGCATTTAGCAGCAAGGTCTCATCTGTTTATAGTTGAAATGGCTAGGTGGAACACTCTCATATTCAGTTAACTCTTCTATCATAGTAGCTTTATTGCTTTGTTTGGGGTGAGATGATTAAAAAAAATGACTCCTTCAGTAGTGCATACATAACATACTTTTTCTGTTTGCAGTTACATTTTTATTTCCATCTGATTTCACTTGGATTATGTGTGCATATATGTACTGATAATTTGAAAGATTTTAAGTTATTTTAAAGATTCAAGCAGAAAGTATAGTTTGTTGAGAATGATTTGAGAGTTACCTCCTCCTTAGAGTTAAACTCTTCTGACAATTCCTTACCTAAGTGTACCTGTTATAGAGTAAAAGTTACCACTTTAGTCTTACAAGACTTTTCTAGTAACTTTAATTCTCACTTGATGGCTCTTTTGTGATATTATGCCAAACTGACCTGTTAGTAAATAATGTACAATCAGATAGTCATGAAAGCTCTTGCCTTATTTACATAAACACTATGCTATCATATATTTCAGATTGTACTGACTTAAACCCATATCCTCCTGCTGTCAGTTTAAACTGATGCCTAATTTTTCCACGTATTGTGACCATTTTGTCGTATTTTCTTGATTTCATATGAAAATTTGAGATTTTCCAAGATATTTCAATTAAATTTTCAATTTCCAAACTTATAGTTTATAATTATAGTCTAGATATGTGGAAAAATGAAGGATTCAGTTTAAATTGACACCGGGAGGTTATAGGTTTAGCAAAGTGATTGTCAGATTCAAAATAGGAACAAAATATATCTGTTAACATGTTCACAGGAGAACAATCAACATTCCTTTCATTATCTTCATTAGCCTTAATTTACAAAATTGCTTTTTGTTGTTAATGATTTCAATAGCAATTTTAATCAATTAACATCAAAAGATTTTTATAGTAAATAAATAGTTCTAATATTTTTTAGAAATCATGCCAAGATGGTTAATTTGTTTAGACTTGTCATTGTGATCAAGAGTATTTTTTTTCAATTTAGTCTATGTCCTTGTTGGTCATTTAGAATTGTAGGTTCTGGTAATGCATTGGCCTTGTCTGAATGTAATTATTTTATATACGTATTTTGTGGGGATTAAAATGACATCATTAACCCACAACAGGATTATTAAATTACAAACAAAACCATATACAAGATACAACAAAATAAGCATATACAAAAATGATAAAATGCTTCAGTATACATTTCAGAGAAATGATTGTATATATATATATATATATATATGCATACAGAAACAAACAAGTTTTGGTGGTAACATGTTTTATCAGAAAACTTTCCAGGATGTCTGCTTGCCCTGGAGGTTGGAAAAAAAGACAGAAAAAATTTATTTTTGTTTTATTTGGTGGTAAAACGCTTGTTCTTGCATCATGGAAGTATTCTATATTTAACTGTTTTTTTATAATCTAACTTTTTCTTTCTTTACTGTTAATCACCATTCTTATCTATATTTTAAAGTATTTTTATTTCTTAACTTTCAATTTTTCTTTTATTATTAATTATTTTGGTTCCAGACTACTACATAGTTTAGTAATAATGGTTGGGGCTTTCAGTAATTTATTTCTTTGCTATCACTACAGAGCTATTCCTTTTTGATGAAAAATTTTTTTCCTCTTCTAATACTGCAAGTTAATTGATTCTTTGTTTACAAAGAAGATAATTTCATGAAAATGTTATTTCTTAACAATTCTCATTATTGATGCAGATACCAGATGACTCAGCTAATTTTAAACTCGAAGATACTCCTGATGTCAGGAAAGCTTATATAGCCTTGGCCAATGTGAGGAAACTGCAGAAACAACTTTTGTAAGTATGCTGTTTAATTACTAATTTTCAGTTCAGTGTCTCTTAAAAGGGTGATAATAAAAATTAAATGCATATAAACTCCAGACTCACTGAAATATGAACTTAACAAAAAGAGCTTATAGCACTCTTGACAGTTATTGAGATGTGAACCCAGAAAGCTGAAATGATTTAACAAAAATATAGAATAGACATAGAAATAGCTATAGTGGTTCAAGTATTTTACCAATATATATATATATATATACACAATGTATAAAAAAAGATATGTTTTTTTTATGTGTATAGGGGGCATTGGGTAGAAGTAGTACCTTTGTTGCTCGTCTGCTGCACCCTATTTTTAAGGGTAACGGGCAACACTGGTCTTCACCTATCCTCTAAATCTCTCATGTGTTAAAGGCGGGCTGTTGGCCAAGGACTTGGATAGGAGATGGGCACTGCCAAATTATCTACAAGTCCACAGAAATATATATATATATATATATATATATATATATATATATATATATAGCCACCACCTATCTACAAGTCCACAGAAAGGATTATATATATATAGCCACCAGCTTTCATACCAGAGATGGTAAACTCTGACATTAAAACTCCCTATATATACCATGTGGCCTACCATGCACTATCCAATGTATTTAAGGTCCCGGAGAGGACAAACTCCATGATAATATAACATGTGATCATAATGCATAGTATACGGTGCACCTGTATGGGCTATGTTTTGATGTAGAGAGTGTGCTTTGTGCTACACAAGCAAGTGATCACTTTAAACAAATCTTGGTACAGGTTGATCAGTAGCTGGATGGCTAATAGTTCAACACAAATACATACAGAACAGAAATTTCATGGTGAGGAAGAGATAGTGACTGGGACAGGTGGAGTATGCCACTGGCAGTCTTTAGCTTGAATTTCACACATGGGTGGTGAGAGGTAGATGGCCGTTGAGCAGCACAAAATCATACATTGTTGCACTTCTTGTCCTTCTCTCATAAGAAAGCAGCCCTATTTAGGGATAGCACTGCTTTCCTCTTATGAGGAAGGGTTAATAAAAGGTGACCTAAAAATTGCATGTCCGTGCATAACCCTGTCATAAGATGCATATGGCTGGGCATTCAAATTGCATACCTGAATTTTCAGAAAATCAAAATTTAATGAAACAAACATGTTCATATCATCTTGGAATGTAAGGACTCTTCAGGACAATAAGAAAAACTCTGAACACAGAACAGCAATTATTGCATGAGTACTTAAACAGAACAAGATCAGCATTGCTGCTCTATCCAGACTTACAGACAGAGGGCAGCTCAAAGAAGTAGAAGGTGGCTACACCTTCTGGGTAGGATGACCTGAATCTGTGAAAAGAGAATCTGCCATAGGATTTGCTATCATAAACAATCTTGTGTCACGATTGGAATCACTTCCAGCTGGTGTTTCTGACAGGCTAATGTCACTTCGCTTACCTATTGGTGGGAATAAACATACCACTTTACTTAGTTATTTACCTACAATGGACTCTACTGAGGAGGTAAAAGAATCCTTTTACTGCAACATTCGTGAACTTCTAAGGCAAACGTCATTTCATGACAAACTTTATGTGATGGAGGACTTCAGTGCTCATGTTGGATGTAACACACTATCTTGGGGTAAAGTCATTGGAAAACATGATGTTGGCAAATCAAATTCTAATTGGGTATTGCTGCTGTCTCTTTGCAGCGAATTCGATCTTGTAATCACCAACACAATTTTCCAACAACCAACTAGTTTCAAAACTACATGGCAGCATCCTAGATCAGGGCACAACCATCTCATTGACTACATCATCATTTATGGCCATGATCACCACAACATAAACCTGATATGATCACTAGCAATCAGTCAATGTTGGTCATTTATATATATATGTTCATATGTATGTATGTATATATATATATATATATATATATATATATATATATATATATATATATATGTATGTATATATATATATATATATATATATATATATATATATATATATATATATATATATATATATATATATATATATATATATATATATATATATATATATATGATATATATATATATATATATATATATATGTGTACATAGTTTTTTTCCTACCCATATACTTTTGATCTCCTTCAAGATTATCCTAAGGGTTAAATTAGAAAGGCAAATTCGATTTAGCAATACTTCCTTCTGCACTCTGTTGTAATTATTTTAAAATTATATTGGGATGCTTGTATTGCAAAAAATTCCATAACTACAATGGATAAATTTAAAATTTTAAAATAATTATCGCATGTTTTTTAAAAATTACCATCAAAATGAAATGCAGATTTTATCACGGTTACAATAAGTTTGTCTTTGTAAGTACCCCCTGAGGGTGATTTTGGAGGAGATTGAAAGTATTTGGGTAGGAAAAAACTATGGCACCTTCCTTGATAAATTTCATCTTAACATCAACAAACTGATTAGAGAACTGGAAAGGATCAGTTTAAAAATAAATAGACAATATATTATTCATTGAAACATGTTTGAATGAAGATATGCTGCCTAAATATATATGTAAGAATCCCTCGGTAATTGTGGCTAATATGTACATCACATCGGTAACTATAAAAAAAATCAATTTTCAATTACTATAGTTAAACTTAAGAATGTTTTACCACACTAATCAACTGTTATGTATGCACTAATTGCATTTTGGTATATAAAAATTTTAGTGCACTAATTGAAAAGGATGCACGGTGAAGTAATGAATAGCGGCTCAGTTTGAGGAATTGGAGAGCTGAGTTCGAATTCCAGTCAAATCCATTACATTCACTTATGTGTTAATACCTTTGGGAAAGGTATGAATCCTCTTCTTCTCCACCTAGCTATGATAAAATCAAAGTGGGAATTATAAATTGCTATGAATGTTTGCTGATACAGGAAACCCCACTGTAAAAGGGCAGGAAATAGGGGTAAAAAAAACCCCCCACCCCAGTGGGAGTTCTACAACATTAATTTTGGGTATTTGAATAGATGAGAAAAAATGCATGCATGTGGTGTTAATCAGCAGTTAGCTGATAGAATCAAATTCTGTTAAATCCATTATTTACAATGGTAACTGAATGCAAGAAAATCACCCATAGCCTATCTATCTATATCCACAAATACATATATGTATGTATATACATATATATACTAGCAGGCTTTGCCCACTTGCTATCACTTTGCAAAGTAAGATATATTCACTATTTGAAATCTTTGAAACAAAAATTTTAAATGAACATTTCATTCATAAATTGGCTTTTACAAATAGATGCCAACTTCTTGAAGGCCAAGTAAAATGCAAATTTCAAACTCTTTTTTGTACTATATAAGATGATATTCCTAAACAGAATTATTTTTGATATGAAAATCAAAACAATCCCTGAATAAAAGAACAGTAATGAAGGACAGTTAATTAATGAAATAAACATTTTTAAAATCAATATGCAAATTAGTTAAACCTGAGAGTGATATTGCTTAGAAATAGATAATATTTAGCAGAGTGTGCTCAAGGGCAGCTGTTGCAAATGAGGAAAATTATGCTGAGAGGTGCCCAACCCTGGAGAACAGCTGCCCAAAGCTGTGCCCTCTCATTGCACCAGAGATAGGGATTTTCTCTTTTCCTTTAATAATGTCCCCAAAAACTATGCCCGTGAATAGGAAAAGATCCATTTGTAAATAAGTAGACAAAACTTGAAATATGTCTCAATATATATTATTGTTATCATACTGTTTCACCCATTGTGCCCACTGGTGTTCATCAGGTTTATATTAATTTGGTTAACCTACAAGGAATTCTGAACTGAACCTGTTATTTAATTCAATTTCCCATATCTCATCTAGTTCTTATTTTTAGTACTGTTCAGTTATTGCTCACCTTGTTTCCACTGAGTTCAAGTACACATTGCCCTGACCAGGGATTAAGCTCACAACTACTGTCAACTAATTCAGGAACCAAGGCTTTAATCCTCTAGGCTATTGTCCTGTAGAACAATTCTCTGTAGAAAACTTGGAGCCTTAAACATAATCTGCCTGCTGATGATATATACCTGATAATGGTTAGAGGACACAGCAGCTGAAACACTGTGATAACAACAACAAAGATGAGGACAATAGTCTGAATGTAAATAATGATCGCTCCTCATCCCAGAAATTCAGACAGAAAAAATGTTTTACATTTAAACTTTTGACAGCAAAACCAGTTTTATTAGCTTGGTTTGGATTCTTCTTCACTTTTCCTTTTCTCTTTTGCAAGTATAAAATTAAATCTATTTCTTCTTGATAAAAAATACCTCTTCCACAACCGACTCTATAACAGTGTTTGAAGCAAACAGCATTGCCATTGTACATAAACTGAAGTGAATGCTGAATGAAAGGGAGCAACATCAACATGCAGAATAAGGGCATTATATGATTCTTCTTCTACATCTTCTTTGTGCCATGTCCATTCAAGACGTGGGTGACCATAGGGCTCCATAATCTCCTGTCCTTTGCAGCTCAGTAATGTTTGTCTTTTTCCTATCCTTCCCACTCCCCATTCCGCTATTTATTCACAGGAGCTCATGCTGCCTCTCCACTGTCCCTTCCACTTTTGATATGCCCTATGATATGTTTTGTGTGTCAAAATTTAAAAGTCCTCCTCCTTCATTATGTGTCCCAGAGATTTCAACTGTCTCTTTCTGATTCTATGTATAAGTATCCTTTTTTTTCTATTTTTCTTAAAACTTCCTCATTGTTTACATGCTCTGTCCATGGTATTCTCAGCAGATGATGGCTATTTCAAACTCTTTAACTTATGTACATATATTGGGTAGAATTGGTTATTTATGTGTGTGTGTGTGTGTGTAGTATATGAAATGAAAGTTGGTTCAAACTGAGAGTGTTACCATATTTACTGTGAGAGTAAAATGGTTAAAGCATTTGCTTCCTTCTTTATAAAAAAATGTGTAGAAACTGGTGAACTGGAAGTAGTTCCTGATTGGACTATAAAATTGCCAGATGAGTGGCAGTGGCAGTTTGTTGCATGCATTATGAGAACAGTTGTAACTGATGAATGCCACACAAGTTGATATCTGATCAGTATTGGCTAGGTTACTGTGGAGAGGCAGTATGATGTTGAAAGACCTGAAACCCCTAATGATCCTTAGCTAAAAACACCACAAATGATACGTGCTAAAGCATGAAACCAATGTATATCATGAAATATATACATATATTTATGTATGTTTATTCAGAAAAATGGCCCAGTCCATAAAGGATAAAAATTATCTCTCGCTGACCAAAAGGTTGGAAGCTAATATAAAGCAACCTAAAATTCCATTCTCAGGATTGGTATTGTGATGTTCCCCTACAGACATTTGAGAATAAAAAAAAATTGATTTCAAATCAAAAGTCTTCATCCTCCGTAACCAGTGTTCTATTCATAAAATCTACAATATCCGAAAATAACAACTATTCACAATTGTTACTTGTCAGAATGAGTATATAGTAAGTGGAATAATTATCTGTACAGAAAGTTGATTTGGCAATCTAAGTTCAAATTCCAGCTGACTGTTGTGTTCAATTTCTTCTAGTTCTTTCAGGAAAGGTGTGAATTCATCTCTCCTCTCCCCACTATGGGTTAAATAGCAAATCAAACTGAATTTTCTAGTTTTGAGTTGCAGCCAGCCTAAGAGAAGGAAAATTCTGTATTTAAACCAGCTGAGTGTATACATACCATTAACTGTGATAAGGGCATTCCTTGTATCAAATCTTGACTGTGTCATTCGTTACAAATGATACTTCACAAATAGTATTGGACACCACTTTACCATTGAATCCTGAAGGAAATCAAGATGGTGGGTTTGGACCTGTGCAACTCCTTAAACTGTCTTAATATATGCACATTGTTTTTTAAATGGAACCATCATCATCACTTGGGATGGAGTGGAGTGTTAAGGTGATTACCACTTTTAAAGTAAAAAATGTTTTTATTTGAATAATTAAGCAATTATTAAAAGCCATAAACACAACAATTGATTATTTGTAAAGTTCACAAATGATCAGATTGGAAACAAATAACAAAACTTTTATTTTTTAAAGAATTGTTTTTTAAAACTGAATATGCAAATTAGTTAACTCTATTAAGCAAAAACTAGTAAGTTGGGAAACATACGAGTATAAGCCAGACTTTTTAAATAAGCCACAAAATGGCTCACAATTGAGTCAGAAATTTAATACTACATGACCATAATTTACTTTCTCCATTGGTTAAAAAATCACAAATGTATCTCTTTAAACCATGCCAGTTTGCAAACTTTATTTAGGCAAGTTTTGAGACTATCAGACATGAGCATCATTTTTTAGATGTTTGTAAACAAAATTTTATACATGTATCTTTTTCATAAACTGTCAGTCTTCATTTTTCTGATCCTTTTACAACATCAATTCAAACCTCATATTACAAAATTTTATACACTAAATTTTATTGAAGCCATTTTTTACTAACCATTTAGCTTAATTATTGCAGTTTCTTTATCTAAAAAATGTTAGTAACTTTCTTCTATTAATAAATGTTTTTAAACACTCCACTCAAAAGAAAGTGTAATAAACAAATCTAGTCTGTTGTACTGTTTTTTATTTACCATTTAATTTTTTGTAAAATTTTACATTTCCCTTTTTCTTATATAAATTTTCATAAAAGGTAGAAGATATATGTATCTTGAAACAAACCTCATCTAAAAGAATTATTTAAATTTGAAAGAATAGGAGCTAAAAAGATTATCTGATCAAACTGACCAGGCATTCTGTCTGTTTATTGCTTGACATATTAAGTTTAAAATATATTTTACTTGAAATAACTGAATTATATTTTAATTTATTTGGCATCTGCAGATGTCTTATCCGTAATTTGTCTTTTTCATTATTTCGCTCATTTTTTTAATATTATCTTCATAATTTTTTCTTATTCATCAAAATGCTTTTGGTGGACATATTCCTTGGCCTTTAAGTTAAATTCTTGACAGAATTAGCTTCAGATGAAATTTAAATTTCATCTTATACCATAAGAGCTGCTAACTATGTCATGTATCATTGTGAAAAAAAACAACAATAAAAAATATATAAATAGATTAAGTTACTAGAAATAATATGAAAATATTTAATTACAGAAACTAAGATGGGTATGGTATTAATTTGTTTTTTACAGTTTAACAACTTTTTGATGGTTATTTAAAACCAGAAAATATTTTTAGATTGTAAGAGTGTTTTTGGAGATAATAATAATAATTTACTGATACGTCCTACTAATTAACCCATAGCTGGGTGAGAAGTGGTGGATTCATACCTTTCCTAATGGTATTTATGCTTAAATAAATATAATAAACTTGACTGGAATTGGAAATCAGCTCGCTAACTTCCAATTCCAAACTGTTCTCCATTACACCAACCGCACATCCACACTTACAGGACCTGGTATTGCTGAGAGGTCACCCATCTAGTTACTGATCAGGCTTGACATTGTTTAACTTCAGTGATTATACAAGAATCAATGTTTGAACATGATATGGTCATACGCGTCTAAGAGAGTCTACAAAAAGTGCTATGGAGTAAGTATGAACAAGATTAGAGTGGGATTAGGGATAAGAGTTTAATCTCATTGTCAGCAGTTTTAATAGCAATGATAATTTTGATGTTGCAGACTACCATAGTATGGAATAGAAGTTCAAATCTCATCTGGCACTACTTTTTTTCTTATTCCCAATTCCAATAATTTAATTTTGAAAAGCAATGAATATATTTCCCAAAAAACACAAAGATTAAAAGATTAAAAAAAAATTAATATATGTCAAGTACAAAATATTATTATTGATAACTGGTTAGCCCTTTTTATTGTTTCTTTTGTGTTGTTATATTTTTTGATCTATCCCTTTATGGTGAGTATTTTTTTTTATTATCCTTCCTCCACCTTTGTTTTATATATTTTTGTATATATTTATATATGCTTTTAAAATATGTTTTCAAAGCCTTAATGGAAATATTAATAATAAAAAAATGTGAGGAATCAGGTTTTATCTGTATTTAATTTCTGCTGCATATTTATTGCCATTACTGCTGCCATATCTGGATTGGAGCTGCCCAATCCTCTCTTTCCAGCTTTAATATAGTTCAATATCATTTACGTGACCTTGTGAGTGATGAATTATTTTTCACCGTACAATCCCTTTTGCACAGACAAAATGTCACAAGCATCTGGCTACTCTATTGCTACTTCCATAGAAAATTTTGTAAGCTACATACCTTAGTCCCGCTAGTTCAGACATTTACAGATAAAACCTGCCATGCCATGTACACACTCCTCATCCTCTTTGTATTACACTGGTAAGAAGGAAGTTCCATTTGGATAGCTTCTTCTCAAGATCCACTGCTTTGTGAAACAGATTCCAGAGAGGATGCTTTTCTTCAATTTTCAAGTCCTGGGTCAAGCATTATCTATCCTACATATCGTCACAATTGATACTTATTACTCCCTCCTCTTACATACAAACAACAATCTCATTCAGTAACCCTCTATCTTGGGTGACTCTTGGACTTTGTATTGAGTGAACAATAGCATAAAAAAACTTCTTACTCTTTTATTGTTAATGAATTTCTTTTACCCTGGTTAATTAATACATAAGAAATTAGCACAATGAATACTTTTAAACCTCTGTAAGAATAAGTCTGGCTATTTTTAACTATTCTACTTTTTAATCAAAGAAGATTGTTTTTAAATAAGCAATAAATCCAGGGGTTACTGGGTGTGAGAGAATATAAGAAAAAATATTTAGGAGAGAGAGCAATAAAAAAACAAGAATTACAAAAACAGAAAATAATGATTGATATTGCATTTAAATTTTTGAATATCAAAGTTGACCAGAAAGCAAGAAAGTGCAAGAGAGCTCCTTAAGTGAGAAGTGCAAGAGAAGAAACTGTTAGTGTAGGATTTGCTATTACATCTAGCAGCCATTTCAACTGAAAAACGATGAGACCTTGTTGCCAATCTAGTACTGTGCTTAAATTCATAAAGTTTAGTTACCATGGAGGAAAGTTCATCAGAACAGTTACCATGAAAATATTTATAGAAAAACACAGAGAAACTATGTTATAGCAGTGGGAAAATGACTGAAGCTGAGATGCCAGATCAGGAACAATAATCTGCAAATTTTTCTTTGTATTTTATCATAAAATCTTTAAATACATATGTAGCAGATTAGTATGCTTCTTTGCACTAAAAACTAATTATTATTACTATAATTTTTTAATATACTTAGAAAGAAAGTGTTATTTATTTTTATTAAAAATAAACTGAATTATAATTGAACTTCTGTCTGAATTTCTGGAATGTGGACTTGTCATTATTTACACCTTTTACATTTGGACTATTTTCCATATCTTTGTTGTTGTTATCACAACTTACAGGGAATTCTGAATTTAACCCTTTATTTAATTTATCTGTTCTTGTTTCACTGTCCATGTTTAGGGAAGGGATATCTCATCTAGTTCTTATTTTTAGTACTGCTCAGTTATTGCTTGCCTATTTCCACTGAGTTCAAGTACAATGGCTCAGTTATTGCTCACTTCTCAGACAAGTAATAACTGAATGTAAATAGTGTATATAATTGAATTGAAAATGATACCTTGTCTTGTGGATAACAATTGCCTAATGCTTAACATAAATCATCTGTGCTTTGAATCAATCTCAATATATGTGCATCTATATGTGTTTACCTCTTATATTAGAATTTTGTAGAAAGTCTGACATTTAAAAATCTGTTTATATTTCCATTAGAATTACAGAAGAACGAGCACAGATGTTTGAAGCCAGAATGCGTACAGCAGAAAAAGAGTTGATATTTTGTGAGGAGAGGATCCGTGCATTGGAGAAGCAACTACGTATTTACAACACAGATCCTGCAGTTGGATATATGCCTACTGGAAAGGCTTCTGCAGCAATCCAGGATTCAGGCCTGAACGTTCCAAAGTCGTCAGCAGGTGTCAAGTCAGGCAAGAAATCTCCTGCAAAAAATATTAAATCTAAGAAGAAATAAAACTAATAACAATTGTAAAGAGATTTTTATTTGACAGCTGATGCAAAAAAAATTGTTGAACTGATGGTTTTCTACTTTGAGAGTAACAATTTATAGTGTGCTGGGTCCACCAGAATAGAAAATAAAGTAAGTATAAAGAGTTTGAAAAATGCAGGTAATGTTATATTATATATGAAGGAATGCTGAAAAGTTTTTAGTTTGACTAAGAAGGAATTCCAAAACAAAATCTATTCTTTGGTCATTTTGGGAACTGGGTCAGGCTGAGAACTTTTCAGCATTTTCTCATATAATTATATATTATATTAATATACTATGTGTACTATCATTGTTATCATTATCAGCCATTGTGAGTTCCCTGCTGGACAAAAGCCTTTTCTAAATCCTTCCATGACAACTGTAATTACGATAATTTTTGCTATGTCATATTAGCTGACTCCTCTATCTTCTCACTGGTCTTTTTCCACTGGGTTTTTTATCAACTGGGCACCAGTCAAAAAAATCTTTTGCTCCATCTGTTATCCTTACTTCTTGATATGTGTCATATCCACTTCCATTTCTCTTGCTTAATCACTTTTATGATATCTTTTTTTCTCAGTTTATTCTCTGATCCATGATAGCTTTTTCCTGTCATAGAGTTATCTCCAGTATTGCTCTTTCCATTAATCTGCCTTCATTTCTAAGTTTGTTTTCAAAGGAGACAGTTACATTAGAGGGTTGACTTGGAAGGTGACCTCATAACCATCAGGTACAGATTTATGCCTCACAGGATGTCAGTGACTGTCCCCGTCATATAAACAGGTGGTTAAACCAGCTACACTTAAGATATGCACATGTGGGACAAGTGAATGACAGGAGATATATAAGCATTCCACAAAAAGATCCATGTTTAGAGAAAGCTACCAAATTCGTACACCCATATACTAATATTAATTGACAAAGTTTGGAGATTAATAAACTAAATAATTTTACATATGACAGATTTAGTGTTTTTACTAGTCTTCACAATGATAAAATTACAGTAAATACTTTTAATAATAGTTTATATATATGTTTGATAGTAATGTGATAGAGTGATACATGCCAAAGTATTTATTATCTTCTTTTTGGATTACTGTGACTGTCTTAGTTGGGTATCAGGAAGAGCATACAACCTTGTAAAACCTTACCTCACATCATTCTGACAAATCCTTTGTCAGACACACCTTGCTTTGTGTGAGACTAATTCTCTTCTGCCTCAACAAAAAAACATGGCTATGTATGTATGTATGTATGTATGTATGTATGTATGTATGTATGTATGTATGTATGTATGTTTTTATAAAGGAGATATACTATTCCTACTGAAAAGGTATGTTAATATGCCATCTTTGCCTGGTGCTTTTTCTTGTTTGTATTTTGAGACACAAACATTATTTCCTTTGTTGTTACCTCTAGAACATTGTGAGAATCTGCCAAAGCAGTTTTATTTTCAAAATGTACATGTTTGCACAGTACTTCTTAGTTATTTTTAACATCTTGTCCCAATATTTGGTAACTTCCCATTTCTTTCTTTGAATGCACTGTGTGTCCTATAGCATTTTCTGTTTATCTATGTGTATTGTAAAGTAAGCATGTTTTCAGATCTATCTTTTTCTGATAGTTTCTTCTGTACTTTCCATGGAAATCTTTTCTTTTTCTTCACTCACTCTTTTGTTGATTCATTTAATTAGTTTGTTTCAAGCACTTACTTTTTGGATAGCTTCTGCTATCCTTTCTTTGTCCATCTTTTTTCTTCTCTGATTCTTTTATTGACTAGTCTACCATATGTACTTCCATATAGTGTGAGATTTTTTATGCAAAAAATAGGGGGTTGCACTATACACAGGTAATTTTTTGGAAGAGGTTAAAAATCATGCATTTTGGTGTCACACCAGAGCATCAAAGGAGACAGGTGTATTAGAGGGTTGACAGCCACTGACTGTATACAGTTAATTTTTTCTGGAGGGGTTAAAATTAATGCAAAAAATTCAAGGGTCACACTATACATGAAGTCAGCTTATACATTAGTATATATGGTAATTAGTTTGTCTAACGTTACATTCTAGAACATACTAGTATCTACCATAGAGGTTGCTGGTGATATCTTTATTTTCAAAACATACTAGTTTACACAGTAGTCAACAGTTATCCATAACATCTTGGTCCTACATTTTCTATGGAAGCTCTTGTTGTTTATCTATGGGACTGTAAGTCAAGTATGTTTCAAGCTCTTTCTTTTTTGGTTAGCTTCTTCTATTCTTTCTTTGTTTATATTTATTCTTCTCTATTTCTTTTGTTTAATTCTGTATTTTTAATTTTATATGTTTTGTTTTTTTATATCCATATTTAAGTTTTCCTTAGTTGTATTGTCGCTGACTTTGAGTATTTCTCGTCTGCAAGATTATATCTATATCACCTTGACCTTTTTATTATCCCGCTGTTTCTCTGCTGTTTCCTTAATTATGAGTTTACTATTCACATCTTCTACGATATTTTCATTATTCCACAAAGCCTAGAATTTTTTTGATTTCTACCTGAAATTTAGTCACATTCTCTTTGATCTCATTATGACATTTTCTTTTTCAGAGCCATTTTGTTTCTCTCAATTTTAAAGTCAAATTTGACTCTGCCAGCTACCATTTTATGAATTCTATCACTTCCTATATTGAATTTATTTATAATGATTATGTCTTGAATATGGCTTTGGCAGCAATTATGAAACCATGATTTTTTTGTGTGAATATTTTTGGCTCTTGTCTTTAGGCCCTTATTAGCAAAGTGCTTAACTAAAAGAAGACTAAAAATTTCATTCCCAAGTAAAAGAAAATAATAGAACGTTTTTTGTTTTACTTTTAAGAGATTCAATCAATTAATAATACAGAATTTGTTTGTTTTAATATAGTTGCAAATAGTAATGACAAATCATTTTTCACAGGATTGCCTGGAATCAAAAATGTACAATCTGTTCTTTTTGGTTCAATATTGACCCATTTTCAACCGCAATGCCAAAATTTCAGTTTCCTCAAACTGGATTTTTTTTTCTATAATAAAATACCATGATGAGTCAATGTGAAAAAATTCATGAAAAATAATGCATTGATTTTTTTTATGATTATTGTGTTAAGTTTGATAACTTGTTGGGTAACTTAGCTCAATTTGAGTAAATGACTTCATCAGTCAAAAAATTCTTCCATAAACAGAAAATCCCGATGCAGAATTGTATACAAATATCTGGAGAAATTTTTCAAGAATGCTTTTTTTAAGGACTCACTCTTACAGGTAAAATTTTAAAAAAATTAGGTGCATATTAGATATTCATATTGATTCTTGTGAATTCTATCAAAATGTCTCATTTACATATTTTTAATTGTCAGACTCATGAAGCATTTTATTAAATCTATATACATATTTTTCAGCTCCAGTCAGACTTCTGTATTAGTAAATAAAATATAACTGTCTGTTAACTGACATTTTTGAAACTCTCTTAAGATGCCTTTCATTTGTGGTTATTAGATATTTAGTAAGAAGGTTGTTTACATGCTGAAGGAGTAAATTATATGATGAGAAATTTGTACATTTAGTATTACTGCATCAGTCATGTTGAACTTTTTCATTTCTATTGCCTAACTGTACAAGACAAAAAGAAAAAGGACTTTTGATTTAAAGATGGTCAAAATAAAGTCATTCCTGATCTTTAGGATTTATGACAAAACAAATTGAATAAACTTGAACTGATTTTGGTATCCTTATTTTAATTTATATCCTCATTTTTGTTAAAATTATGGGAAAATAAGACAATATCTCAGTCAGAAATATAACCCAGAAGTAATTATACACAACAGAGATTGGTAAGTATCATAGATTAATTTATGATATCACTAGATGAATAAAAAAATGATTATTTACCAAAAATAATAAAGTTTTTGATTTGAAAAGTCAGTCAGTAAGCCAATCCATGTTTTTATTATGTGCTTGTGAGGAGTAAATATAATACTTGTTTATTAGATCAAATTGAACATCAATAAAGATGAAAAAGAAAAAAAAAATTAACTAAATTCCTTTGTTGCAAGTTTTTCTTTATTTATTATTACTTTTCTGATTCATTATTAACTGTATAATTTAAATCTTGTTGATATCTGCTTCTTCAGAATAAGAGACTAGCTTGATGATTAGACTTGCATAACAGGAAAACATTAATATCTTATTTTGGATAGATAATCATTTTGTTTATCTAAAAAATCCATAAAATGGTTCCTGGCACACAATGATGTCTCTTATAGTATTTTGCCTTGTCAGTAGGACCTAATACACTGATTGCATCTTCTGCATAGAAGTAATCACTACTCCTAAAAAAGGAGCTATCTTCCAGGTGGATACTTGCAGACTCATGTATAAACCCAAGCAATGACTACCTTTTGATTCCAATGTAAATGAGACCTATGTCTAACTTTTCAACTGCACTGTAAACCAGACATGTGTCTACATTTTTGACTCTTGTGTAAACTGAACTGATGTCTACTTATCTATTAATTAATTATGACTTTTGCACCTTAATACTTATAATCAACATTAAATAACCCAACATAACTAACAGTATTATTGTTTTACTTTTTGGTTGTATTACTGATGTTGAGGTATTGTCTCATTTCACCAAATTCTAAATCACTAATCTTGCAGAAGTTCAAAACTTTTAATATTTTGACTTGTTCATGTTGCAAAGATTGTAATGTCTACTTTTAGAATGAATATACATAAAATATGTGAAAAGTAAACAACTATGAATTTGATGCACAATTAACAACAGGAAAATTTCAGTGAAAATAACTGATGGTTCCTTGTAAAATATTTCAAAATAGAAGGGTGAACCATTCTTACGAACTCAATGAATATATTGTTCTACCGTGGCCACTGGTGGCCGCGGTTCTCCCCACCAACTCTGTAACAACTACAATTGAATTTATCTTAATTTAACATAAAATTTG